GAACATATGTTTTGTGCAACTTTCCTTGATTTGACACTTAGCCTTTGATGTTGCAAAACATTCCTTTTCATATAATTCTCCATGTGTTTTTTTTGTTCCTTTTTAGATTAATTGTATTATGAAAAATAACTTGATATGTACACATGTTGGAGATGATGTTCTAGCTGGTGTGGCACATCTAGCGCCAACTATTGTTGTGAAGAAAGGACACACGTGGGAGAAGATATCTTAGCATGTGGCCCTTGTCTGGATGAAAACGTTGTTGTTGTGTGCGTGTGTTTTCCAACTGATTGTAGTGTTTTCTTCTGCTGATGTGTGCAACAAGGATTGTTTCTATCTTTTAGCAATGTGATTTATTTGTTTTTGTTTAATTAAATTAAATTTAAATAAATGAGATTTAAATTTGAATTAAAAAAAATCAAGTCTTTTTGTGTAGTTGTTTTGGAGAAACAAATCTTAACAGAATCTCCACCATATCTGGACGAGATCATAACCTAAATCCAAGGAGAAAAGCCCAATTATGGATTTCTATATATAGAGACTATTTCCATGCCTTAAAGACGAAGAGCTTGAGTGATATTTTGTGTTTTTAGGAAGATTCTTTGTTTATGTTAATTGTACACCACCATGTTGCTTCATTCATATCATAAGGCATAGTAGTTGGTTTATTTAGGTGAGTTATAAATTCAACAAGTTATTATTCTGATTGTTGTTGAATCACTAGGATTAGTGATTGAGGAAAGTGAGAGTGATTCTCATATTTAGGAGGGACCTAAATAGAAAGACACTTGGGTAGAAAATTCTTGGTGTTATTTATTACTTTTACCTTGATTTATTATTGTTGTCATAGTGTTTTTATTCTGGTACAACAAGTTGGACAATTTTTTCAGACATCTGGTCTAACATTTGTCCCCTGAGGAACAAAATTTCAATAGGCATCAAAGCATGCACCCTATTCTGTTTGGGTGAGCTTCAAGGAAGATATTTTCTCTTCATATGGACAACACAGAGGATGGAGGGTCTTGAAGGGGATATTTCTCACCCTTCTGCTGGAATGATGTCCTACATGACATCATGCAGGTATCAAGGTGTAGTACTGCTTGTAGTTGCGAGGTCGCTATCGGTATAGCTGTTTAGTAATTTAATTATGTTGGGTCGAGTCATGCTCTGGTCATGTAACACTGGGATCGCTTGGGTTATGTTTCAGATATATGTTATGTACTCTATAGGTCGGCAAACCTTGTTCCACGCGATCCAAACCATATTGTTTTTCTCCTTCGAACTTCCCCACAAGAATCTATTTTGAATTTGCTCAATCTCTTTCTAAACCGCAACCGGAGCTCTAAAAAAGGACATGAAAAAGATTGAGAGGCTACTAAGTACCAATTTTATCAACGTAATTCTCCCATCCAATGACAATAATCTGCCCTTCCAATTTTCCAGCCGACTGCGAACCTTCTCCACTAAATTGTTCCACGTTGAAATACGTCTGGGATTGGACCCAATCGGAATCCCAAGAAACTTGAAAGTTGGCTTCTCCAATCTGCACGACATGAACAATGCCACTGCTACTTGAAAATGACAAGATATGTTCACACCTATTACCATGCTCTTATGAAAGTTAACGCCTAAGCCAGAAACTAACTAATAACCCCTCATAATCGCTTTTATCGCCCAGACTGGAGGATATCAGCCTTATAATCAAAATTATACGGGAATCCCTCGAAGTCTCCTAACTCCAATGCCTTACGGACCAAACTCGTCAGACCTTCCGCCACTATCACAAAAAGAAAAGGCGAAAGGGGACCCCCTGCCTCAAACCCCTTTCAACAGTAAAATCCTATGTCGGGATGCCGTTAACCAGAACTGACATGTGACTCGAAAACGCAAGGGCCTCCATCCATTTCAACCAAGAAGCTTCAAACCCCATAGTCTTCAACATAAACCGAAGGAAATCCTAGTTAACTTTATCATACGCTTTCTCGAAATCTACCTTAAAGAGAATGCACTGATTCTTTTCTCTAGTAGCATAATCCAACGTTTCATTCGCGACTAGCACCTCGTCCAAATGTTATCTTCCCGGAATGAAAGAGACTGATTTCTAAAGATCAAATTCCCCCAAAACCTTCTTCAGACGCCCTGCTAAAAGTTTAGATAAAATCTTATATAAACACCCTACGAGACAGATAAGTCGATAATCATCCAAGCTCAGAGTATGTTGCTTCTTAGGAACAATGGTCAGAAAAGAAGACATAATCGATTTGTTAAGCCTCGCCTTCTGATTAAAATCCTTAACAAATATAACAATATCATCCTTCAAAAAGTTCCATCATTTCCTAATAAAATAGAAGTTATAACCTTCCAGACCCGGGCTCTTTGAAACTTCGCATCCCCAAACTACTTCCTTTATTTTCGTCTCAATGAAAGCAGCTTCGAGCATATCCGCTTCTGCTGCAGAAATGGAATTAAACCCGCATCCTTCCATGAAAGGTATCTCCCTATCCTATTCAACAAACTTCTCACTAAATTGCCTCCTAACCTCAAGCTTGATATCACTAACATCTTCCAAAAGACCGAAGTCTGACATAATCGATAAGATTGAGTTGCTTCTTCTACGACCTCTAATAATGTTGTGGAAATAAGCATTGTTAACGTCTCCATCTCGAATCCAATTGATTCTAGCCTTTTAGATCAATATTCTCTCTTGATTATGAAGACTCCTCCATAACCTAGTAACAACATTGCTTCGCTTGTCCACCAAATCCTGACGGTGCTCCTCTTTGCATTCCTCTAGCAAAACATCAATGTCGTTGATTAAGTCCTTATTTTCCTCAATATCTAAGTTAGCTTTACCATACACTTCCTTGTTCCATGTTTTGAGTTTCCCTTTCAAGAGCTTCAGCTTTTCCTTAATGACAAAGTCACTTCTCTCTTCAACGTTCAAGGTCTTCCATTCTTCCTCGACAAAACCTAAAAACTCAGGATTATCAAACCAATTGTCCATCACTATCAACGATTTTAGGCCCCAATCCGACTTGTTGCATATAAGCCAAATAGGATAGTGATCAAACACTTCCCTCTTGCCAATAAGCTGACCCACAACTCCCCATATACCCACCAGTTTTCTCGGCAAAAGGAATTGATCAATTCTACTAGCGGATCTGCCATTGCCACTAAACCACAAAAACTTCCTTCCTTTATAAGAGAGATAAACAAGGTTAATTTCTTCTATGAAAGCTTCAAACTCTTTCATTTTTATCAACCTGTTGAGGTTAGCATTTCCCTTCCTTTCCTTTGAGTTAACAATGGCATTGAAATTCTCTGCTAAGCACCGCTCTCCATCATTGAACTTTAGTTTGAGGGACAACAGATCTTTCCAAAGTAATCTCTTAAGAGTTAAGCTACAAGGTGAGTATACGTTGATGAGATAGTAAAATTCACCTTTGCATCTGATTTTCATGCCCAAGTAACTGTTTTCTCTAAAAGAAAAGATTGATTTGAAAAAGTTGTCCTTCCATAAAATCAGCAAACCACCTGTCTGACCTGAAGCTTCAGAAAAAGACCAGCCAATGTTGTGTTGTGGCCAAAAGCTAGAGGCAATTGACAAGTCAACTGTCTTCAGTTTCGTTTCTTGAATCAAAAGAACATCTACCTTCCCTGATATAATTTATGCAACGAACCTCTTCCTTTTAATTCTGCTACCTACCCCACGAGTGTTTAGAAATCCCACTATCATTTATCACGAGATGTTGACGCCTTCTTGCCCATCAATTTCCTCTTATCCTCCGCCTTCATGGCTTCAATTTTCCTCTGGTAATCTCTTCCATTAGCTCTTGATACAATCCCTAAGTTAGAAATTGCTTTCTAGACTTTCTCTCCAACATTAGATTCTAGGTTACCCCAAAATCTAGCATTCCTCATTCTTATATCTGAATCATTGGTTGATTCACAACAAAGAATATCTCCTCCGGAAAAACTAACCTCCTTGTCAAATAAAAGCTTTCCTTCTACATGGATAAATGTTGGAGTAAGAGAGGATGTTGATGGCTTTCATTTCCTCCCTTTTCTTTTGTGAGTCTTTAGATTGTCTTTTCTAGAACGATTAATAGGCCTTTTAGGCGAACCTGTGCCATCTTGGAAAGTGAGAGCTAAAGGCCCACTACCCGCAGGCCCAATAGCAGAGTCATGGGGATCCTGATTTGTCGGCTCCACTAGGTCCAATGTATTCAAATGGTCAGCAACCACCGGGTTGGGATCCACTCCATTTCTTTATCCCTCCATTTTCTCTATTATTATAGTTTTTATGTATATAAAATTAACTAAATATTAATTATATGTCACATGTCTTAGAAATGTGTGTTATTTACACACAAAACTATAGTAATAGAGAAAATAGAGGGATAAAGAAATGGAGTGGATCTCAACCCAGCAACCACCATACTCTTCTCTAGACCCTTATCTGCAGATTCCTCAGAGCAATTATCATTCCTCTCAACTGACTCATTAGCTAAACCTAGTATCTACTGTTTGTCAGAGTAAGCTTTCTTGAAACTAGTATCTGACCCTACCCTCCTAACTTTCGCCGCCTCTAATGCCTTAAGTCCCTTTTTTTCTTAAGAAACTCATTACCTTTAATGTGACCATACTTGTTGTTCTTTTGAATCTCTTTCTTGAGCTCAGTGATTTTCAGAGTAGGGATTCTGAACTCACCTTCCTCGAAATCCCCCTACATTGCTTATTATCCATGTATAAATATTCATATCTATTATATTTATCAATTTAAGAAATACATGTATAAATATTCTTATCTATTATATTTATCGATTTAAGATATACATGTAAGTAATATTTATCAATTTAAGATATACATGTAAGTAAGTGGATGTATTTATTTGCAGAAATAGCATGGTATATCATATTATATCTCATCATACACTAAGAAATAAAACAATGACAAAAAACAAAGATTAGATTCACCAAAAAGACTAATAATAACTAAGCTAATCCATATGATACATGTTGGATTCTTTCAAAGCAGCAGTATGATTGAAAAACTTCAATGTCCGAATCCACTTCTCTTGATTCTTCAACAAATGAACCGCAATAGTATCACTCACAAGCTCATGACTACAAACAGAAGGCGGATCAGGATAATTATACATAGACCATTTCGCATTATACCTATTCAATCCTCTACGACCCCATCTCATCCAATCACCGAACACCTTATCTTCTGGACCCTCCACGTGTTTCTTCGGAATATCAGAGCCGTGAATCCACTCAACAATATCCCATGACACCAAAAACCCCATCCCAGACATGTAGTGTTTAAAAGGGTCCATGCTTCCACACGGTATCACGAATCCGTAGTATAAATCCTCACTCGGTAACGGTTTTAACGATTTCACCAAACTGTTGAGTCTCACGTAGGTGTCATCATCTGCTTTCATAACATAGTGGTAAGGAGGGTAATTTGGTCCATTCACTGTTTCATTGAAGATTTCTGGCAAACTCGTGAAGAACGTTGAGGTTTTTCCTTTGTTCATGTTTTCTGTGCAGTTGAGAATTATGATGTCGTTGTAACGCATGATTTCTAATGAGATTATTGTTTTTTGATCTTCTTTTGTGAGGTTGCAGAAGACGAATTTGACGTCGATTTTCGCGTTTTCGGGGGATTGTGTACCGTATACGAGACGGAGGAAGTGTCGTCGGAGGTATTGGTCCGGGAGTGTGAGGACACCGATGAGAATCCTGATGTCTTGTTTTTGTTGTTGTTCTTGGTTTGAAAATGAAAATAAAGATGAAGTGTTTGTTGTTTTGTTTGAGAGAGTGCTACATCGACCAAAAGTTGGAAGATTCTTGTACCGAAATTCGTTAATGGAAGCTAATACGCAGAGGAAGAAAATTGATATGAAACATGAAAGCACGAAACGTTTTCGATTTGGTTTTGGCGACTTGAACACCACCATTGTTTTGTTGAAGATTTGGAAATAGAAAAAATGAAAGAAAAGGAATGTGAATTAAGAAGTGCAAAGAGGTTTCTAAGTAATAAATTTTGTGAAGTTTCTTAGAGGAAACTCAATGTTTTTTCTACCTTATTATGTGCCTGATAATGAGTAACTTGGTTGGTTAATTATTGGTTAATTGAACATTGGCGTGAAAAAGGAACATTGAGATGATGGATTTGAGCCTAAATGGTGAAACTCGTTTTGATTGCGTGATTTTGATGTAAAGTGGTTTGGTCAACTTTTCGTAATTAGGCGGATTTGCATGAAAGAAGAAGGATGGCTTGGACATAACTCACGCCATGCTTGACTGTAAAGTAAGTAACGCCGTTGACTAGGAAATAGTTGTTTAAATTAGAAGGTTCTCAATTAAAATATTGCAGTAGTTATTTTATTTGATTTTTTTTTTATAAGCTAAGATATATTCGATAGTATAGGTATTAGGGATACCTCAACCCACAATATAATGATCTTTCTGCTAACGGACGACTCTTACAATCACAATAATTACATAAAATCTAATAGTTGTTTATACCACTCATAAAAGTTGTAATATCTATTGACTTTTGTTGTGAATCGGATATTTTAAAACTAAGTATAAACAGTTTCTTAATGATTAAGAAACACACAAGGGTTAGGGTTAATAAAGAAAAAGACAACAAGGATTGGTTATTAAACTGCTATTCTTTCATTTCTCTTAGAACAAGATTACAAGTATACAAGAATAACAAAATAACCTCTCTCTCTTGAAATTAGAATTTTACCTTCCTATTTTTTCTTATGACAAGATTGAGAAACTAGCATCCTATTTATAAGAAAAATAACACACTAACCTAAAGGGCTTTTTAACAATTATCCATTACAATCTAACTTAGGGTACAAGCTAACTTAAACAATTGGGCTTACAAGCAATGTCAAATTCAACATGTTAACAACCCTAACAATATTAACTAATTCATGTTAGAACACACTTCGACTACAACACGCATTACTCGCGAACAGACTTCGACCATACTAGAGTTCGATCCAATATTTCACAAATCTCCACATTGGATCTAACTCTATAACATCAAGAAACTAGCTTTCTTCATGCAGCTTTATTAACTGCATACAGTGGAAAAACTTACAACTAGGCAATGTCTTGGTTATCATATCAACAACATTATGATTTGTCGAAACCTTCAGCACTTGAACTTCTCCACGCTCGATTACCCCTCTGATGAAATGCAACCTCACATTAATGGTTTGGTTCGCTCATGATAGGCTGAATTCTTCGACAGATGTATACACTTTGACTATCACATTTAACAGTGATAACTCGACCTTGAAGTTTTAGCTCATTTGCAAAATCTTCAAGCCACAATGCTTCCTTCATAGCTTCAGTTAGGGCAATATACTCCGCTTCAGTGGTTGATAAGGCAATGACCTTCTGAAGTGTTGCTTTCCAACTGATTGTTGTCCCAAACATAGTGAGCACATATCCAGAGATAGATTTTCTGGAATCCATACAACCTGCATAATCAGAGTCGACATATCCTTCGATTGCTGCTTTACTATCTTCACCAAAGGCTCCACCATAAATTAGGAATCTATTCAGAGACTCATTTATGTACCTTAAGATCCACTTCAATGCTTTCCAGTGAGCCTTTCCAAGATTTATCACGTACCTGCTTACAAGACTTACTGCATATGCTATGTCGGGTCTAGTATAGACCATAGCATACATCAAAGAACTTACTATGTTAGCATATGGAATGCTATTCATATAAGTTCTTTCAACATCAGTGTTAGGACAGTGATCTATACTAAGCTTGAATTGAGGGTTTTTCGGAGTCACAACATGCTTTGAATTTGACATACCAAACTTTTCGAGAACCTTCTGTAGGTATGCCTCTTAAGATAAGCATAATTTCGACTGCTTTCTATCTCTCCGGATATCAATCCCAAGAATCCTGGACGCAGCTCCCAGATCCTTCATGTCGAACTCTTTATTGAGTTCAGCCTTCACCCTCATTACATCTTTGACATTGTTGCTTGCTATTAGAATATCATCCACATAAAGAAACAAAATAACAAGTGAATTACCCAGTCGAAATCTGAAGTAAACACAGTGGTCGAACTGACTTCTGATGAAACTTATGCGTGCTATGAACTTGTCGAATCTCCTATTCCGCTGTTTGGGGAGATTGTTTCAGTCCATATAAGGATTTATTCAGCTTGCACACATAATCTTCCTTCCCTTTTTCGACATACCCTTTAGGTTGCCTCATCAGGATTGTTCCATCTAAGTCACCATACAAGAACGCAGTCTTCACATCTACTTGTTTCAGTTTAAGGTCGATTATACCACTGTGGCAAGCAACATTCGAATGGATATGTGCTTCACAACAGGAGAGAACACATCATTGAAGTCTATGCCTTATTTCTGAGTGAACCCCCTAGCAACCAATCTTGCCTTGTATCTCTTCGACACCACTCCTTCGACTCCTTCCTTAACTTTAAAAATCCATTTACAGTTGACTAACTTGGCTCCAGCAGGTTTCTTGGTCAGTTCCCAGGTGTTGTTATCATGAAGAGATTTCATCTCATCATCCACGACCTTCATTCATTCAGTCTTCTTTCGACTCCTCATAACTTCCTTATAGTATCTAGGCTCTTCATCTAGAACCTCGCTAGCAGGGATTAAGGCATAAGCTATAAGATCTGCATACCCAAGTCTCTAAGGTGGCTTGATGACTCTCCTCGACCTGTCTCTTGCTAGCAGGTAGTCATTATCAGTCTCCTCATCTTCGACAACATCTTCTGCGTCTTCTTCGACTTCATTTGGGGTAAGCAATTCAGCATCAACATGTTCCACCTCAACAAGAATATCTCCTTGTTCCAGCTCTTCGTCAGCATCATCAGTTTTCTTAAAAGTCATCTCTGCTTCATTGAAAACTACATCTTGACTAGTGATACACCTCCTCTGACCTGGCTCTAGGCACCATAGTCTGGCTTTGACTTCTTCAGGATATCCCATGAAGATGCATTTTAGAGCTCTAGGTTCGACCTTGTCTTGCCTAATATGAGCATATGCCACACAGCCAAATACTCTCAGTCTGTCGAGACTAGGTGATGTCCCGACCAAACTTCTTTAGGTGTCTTCATTCCCAAGGCAGTCGAGGGACATCTAGTTATCAGGTAAGTTGTTGTCGAAACAGCTTCCGCCCAAAACACCTTCTTCAATCCAGCACTAACCAACATGCATCTAACCCTTTCAAGGATTGTTCGATTGAATCTCTCAGCTAAGCCATTTTGTTGAGGAGTACCTGCTACAGTCTTATGCCTTGCAATCCCAGACTCAACACAGTAACTGTCGAACGCTTCGTTGCAGAATTCAAGGCTATTGTCGGTTCTCAACCTCTTAACCTTTCTGCCAGTTTGAGTTTCGACCAAAATCTTCCAACTTTTGAAATTCTCAAAAGTTTCATCCTTCATCTTCTGAATGAATACCCATAGTTTTCTAGAATAGTAATCAATGTTTCATAGAAAATACCTTGCACCTGAGTGGGAAGGATTCCTTGCAGGCCCCCAAAGATCAACATGAATGTAATCCATGGAACTATTTGTTCTTTGCTTGCCTTTGTTAAACTTCTCCCTACAGGATTTACCAAATACACACGATTCACAAGACTCCAACTTTTCGACTTTGTCACCTCCTAGCAGATTCTACTTCCCCAATTCGACCAAGCCTCTTCCGCTGACATGGCCCAATCTCATGTGCTATAATTTTGTCTTCGACACAGGTTTCGTGGATGCAACATTTGTCGAACCACTTACAACCTCGGCCTCAAAGGAATACAAGCCTTGTTTCTTCACGCCTCTCAAGACTTCCTTCGACCCCTTCATGACTCTTAGGATACTTTCCTCTCCTTGAAAAATGTATCCCTTTCTGTTGAATTCACCAAGAGAAATCAAATTTCTCTTCAAGTCAGGTACATACCTAACTTCGGTCAATAACCTTATTGACACATCATGGAGCTTGAATCTCACATATCCAATACCTGCAATTTTGCAAGATTTGTTGTTTCCCAGCAGCACAAATCCACCATCTTGATCACATAGCTCCTCGAACAATTCTCTGTTTGGATTCATGTGCCAAGTGCAACCTGAATCCATAATCCACTTTTTTCTCGAGTCTCCACTTGAAACCACAAGAACATCAGATGAGTCAAAGTCATCTTGAATAATGGCTGCGTTGCCATTACCTCCATGATCTTTCAGGCATTCAGGGTACACCTTTCTTATGTGCCCCTCCTTCTTACAGTGATAACATCGAATACCAGATGTTTTGCCACTATAAGACTTTTGTTGACTTTTACTTTTCTTCTTGTCGAACTTACCATCCTTTCGCAAGAATTTTCGCTTAACGGCCAAACCTTCGCCCACCGTCGAAGGTTTATGCTCTTTTTGTTCGTTCAAGTCCTTAGAATACAAGGCTGATTGAACTTCTTCAAAGGTTAGGGACTCCCTTCCATATAAGAGAGTTTCTTTGAAGTGAGCATGTGTTCTGGGAAAAGCACACAGCAGCAACAGTGCTTGATCTTCATCATCGATCTTCACATCAATATTTTCAAGATCAAGAATCAGCTTGTTAAACATATCCAACTGCTCATCCAACACTTTGTCTTCACTCATCTTGAATGAATACAGTGTTTGCTTCAGGTAGAGCCGATTGACCAGAGATTTGGTTGATTGCGACTTTCTATGTCTAACTGAATTAACTGCAAGTGCACAGTATATCGCGTAGTAATAATAGATATCGATCCCACAGGGACTCGTAATCAAGCTAGTATTTTTGGGTGTTATTGTGTTTAGCTAGGTTGGTAATGTTTTAGGGGAATAAAAGCAAAATAAGTGCGTAAACTATAAGGGAACTAAAGCGTTAATTAAGGTATAAATGCTTGAACCGGTATGTAATATGT